AGGGAAAGCATGAATGTGTAATGAAAATGGTGACCCCTGTTGAAGCAAGAAATAGTCTGCTTTATCCAAGCAGAATGCAAGGATTCCCTTAAAAAATGAACTCTCAGTACTGAAGACAATGGTAGATATTTAGAACTTCTGCTTGATGCAAACAACCCCTCTCACAGAATAGATCTATTGTAGCCTTACAATCAACTTCCCAAAGTGAGAAAGCAGACTAAGTTCAAACACAAGACTCTTAAGCAGGGATCGGTGTTCAGACAGAGAACTATTATGGAATAGTTATGGAACTTTAAATTCACATTTGAGCTTATTTTACAGTAGCTTCCAAGCATAGACAAGCTGTAAGAAGTCTCTGTTCTCCAGCTCTAGTTACTTTTTCACTTCCCTTTCCTAAGGATTTGCAGAAGACATAAGTGAAATTTTTAGCATCCTTACAAACTATCCATAACAGACTGGCAACCCCAGTTCACTCCTGCCAATATGTTAACCCTAAATCCCTATCATCCAATTTTATTTCTAAATACTAATTAATACTCCAGAAGATATTTCTGGGGGACAAATCTAAACTTTCCACAAAATATTCTCCTAGACTAAATTCTGAATACAGAAAACTGAAGTAAGTAATAAAGCCTGTGGCCTCTTTAAATCAATCACTGGAATTTCTCTTGGTTTACAGAATTAGACAACAGAATGTAGGAGTAGGAGAGGGCTAAAATGACATAGAAGTTCACTTGTAATCCACAATTTATAGATTTTAACAGTGCTTGGAGACCCCTGTGCAGAAGATTCTCTATAGGTAACAATCATTCACAACTAGGGGTGCGCCAATACGCCAATAGAGATTTTGGGGGCTGATACGGATAGCCAATATTTCAGGAGGCATATCAGCTGATACCGATCTGATACAGCTGTCTCCAGGTAGTGAGTCTGGTGTAGTGGAAGGAAAGGAAGGAGGGAAGGGGCATGGGTGGACAGATCAACTCCCCCATGGTGAGGGACAGAGCAGAGGCAGGTGCTGCCCAGTGGGGCGGAGGGGGGGCGGTGGTGGTGTGGTACATGGGGTAGGGGTGGCTCCGGCCATTGTTTGCATCCCAGTAGGGTGGGGGGGACGTGTGCTCCAGATCTGCAGCATGGGCTGCAGCTGCAGCATGGAGCCAGAGCCGGCGCTGCACAGGGCTTTTTTGCTGGGGGTGGGCTCATAGCGGTCTCCGGTGGTGCTGGGAGGAGGCTGCAGCCACCCCAGATTTTACTGCAGCTCCACTCCCAGCCCAGCGCCGCCACAGCTTTTCCCTATGCTTGGGTGGAGGTGGGGCCTCCTGCCCCCTCCCTCCCTCCCTCCCAGCAGGGGTGTTGATCTTCCCCCCTCACACCTCTCCCTCCCTCCCCCTTCCCCTTCCAACTTACCAGCTAAAGGCAGCTCTCCACACCGCCGGCTCTGTGCTGTGCTGCACTACAGCTGCACGCAGTACAGGCATTTATCAGCCAAATTATTGGCCCCATAGAGCCAATATCCAATATAGACAATTTTCTTCATATTGGTACTAATCTGATATCGGACGGATGTATTGGCGCACCTCTATTCACAACTGCCGCTAAAATTACTGTACCAAAGCTTAGATGTAAAAAAAAAAAATTCAGTATGACAAAATGCAAAATGCTTCTATTATAGACTTTTCTAAAGGGTGTTTTTACAAAACAGCATGTATACTTCCTAGAAAAATGGTTTACCTGTCATTACTTAAACAATAATTGGATATACATAATTTAATTCAAACAGAAATGAAGGTACTTACCATTCAGAACCATTTTAGCAGCAATAGCAGTGGGATACCCCACAGTTTTAGCCATTGCAGAATATCCTTTATCATCACCATACACCACCAGATCAATTAATTTGTCTTCAAAATGTCCAGATGGATGCCTAAGACCTATTTCATTTCTCACAACAATCATATCTCGCTCTCCAGCACCTAAAAGCAGCAAGACAGACCAGCATTACTAATTTTATTTGTATTATTGCAATATTGACATCAGGATCTTAGTGTATTAGGCATACATAAAATATCAATTCTGCTCCTGCCTCCTGACAAGCAGCTCACAATGCAAGTGCAGGAATGTTCTGCTTTATTCTCTTATTTCTGACTAATCACAACCACCCCAGCAGATGGCTAACTGTCTAGTCCTGAACACTTCAAATACAGAATAAACCAAGTTAAAATAAAATTAATTCTGTAGTATGGAAGTGTTGAGCAGAATTATTGTTTCACTTACTCTGGTTCACTTCACTGGAGACATTCTGTCATTAAAGAAGTAAAAGTACAATCACAACAAGTCAGACCCTTTATAACATGAAAATACCATCCTAAAAAATAGTATAAATAGTGAAGTTACACAAGACGCATTGATGTTTGACCTGGATAGATAAACCTACAATGCGGGACCCTGAGAGGAGTAAAAATAAAACTAAATCATGTCTTAATACCCTTTAAACTACCTAAGTTCTTTCTAATTATAGGCCTTTTCTTGGAGATATACCTTTCAATGACAGAATTACTAATTCTTCTACCTTAATTCTACAATGTACAAAGGACTATTAATGGTCATTAGGAGAGATCCCTAAGGAGAAATTAAGTATTAAGATTGATGACAACAACTTTCAGGCAGACAATACAATCAGTGCAAGAAGTGCACCTAATCGGTCTATGGAACTGGAAATGGTCAGCCAGAAACACCTAAAGTGGTTATAGACTAATAAAAGGAGCCTGTACAAGAAAAGGAAGGAGCCTGAACTACTGGTGGAGGAGATGATACTTAACATTATAACAATAAGGACCAATGATGAAATAACAATCATATGTGGATCACCGGTATTGAAGTGTATGAATTCTTCAGAAAAAAATGACAATTAAGATAAACGTGGCACTACCTGGTAATGGATTCAGAAGGAGCAGCATGGATGAAACAGAATCTGTTTGGGTTAAAACCACTGAGGGGGATGGATGGTAAAAGAGGTTCTCTAGGGACAGAGCCTGAAGTCTGCTCTAGTTCCCTAGGGTCAAATATGGATTAGGAGAGATCTCTGAAATGTTATTAAATAGATTCCTAGCAGCAGTTATCATTACGGGAGACTATCTTCCTGATATACATTGAACAGCAAACACTACTAATTATGGCAGTACCGTTATTTCCAAATATGAGAGCCAAGTAACTCTCACTAAATAGTCACTGAACCAACCACAGGTAAGCCTATTTTAGACTTGATTTTGGTAAGTAAAGATGACATCATAGAAGAGCTGGTTGTAGAAAATAACACTACTGAGTGATCTCAAGTTATCCAATTTAAACTAAATGGAAGAATAAATAAGAGCAAGGCTGGAACTAAGGGGCACTTTTACATGTGCTCCAGAGGTGGGGGGCAGCGTTTTAATTAGAGTAGCTCTTAAAGCCACCCCAATTAAAGCACCACCGCATAACCTATATCAATGTCTCTGCTCTTAAAAATGGCAGTGGGGGTGCTTGAACTAAAGCTTGTTCAATGAGCTTTAGCTCAAGTGCCCCGCCCCCATTTTTAAATGCGGGGATGCTGATACACAAGATGCAGAAGGCTGCTGGGGCGCAGCAATTACCACACTCCAGCAGATTCAATTAATCGAGTCTCCGCTTGTGGATAGGTGTCCAAAAATTTTGCTTTCAAAGGGCAACTTTATTTAACAGGAAAAAGTGCTAGTCAATTAAATCAACCAAACTGAGGAGCTCAGGAACCTGAATACGGAGGTAGCCTGGAATCTCTTAAGTGAATGGTGCTAAGCTGCAGACACAGGTGATAGTGGTCTCTAGAGCTTAGCAAGGGCAAAATGAAAACAATGTCTCAAGGAATCCTCTGGACCAGAGTGAAGAGACAGTCGTATTTTGCATGTGTGCAGTGATTTATGTGAAACAGGCTCAGTGCTTGAGTGGAGGCAGGAATAGACAGCTACTGCTTGCTACCCCCTGATTTAACCTGAATTCTGCCTTAGTGAAGGGGAGATGTTAGTCTTTGGGAAAAGAACATGAACACTAGGCCTGTGCGAAGCAGCTAGTATTCGCTTCAGCTTCGGCCGATTCAGGGGACAGGGATTCAATTTGATGATTCGAAGCACTGTCCCAAATTGATTCAGCCAATCTGATTTGGAGATTTGTCTGCTGCCAAATCTCTAAATCAGCCAGGCCCATCCCCCCAGCCCCACAATGCCTGCTCCAGCCACCCCAGCTCCTGGCCCTTGGAAAAAAAAAGCCCCTACTCACTGGGTGCTGCCAAGCGGGAGGGCGATCCCTGCTGCCTCCCACACTGCCCCACGCTGCACAAGCCCCCACCCCCACCCCGCTTCCCCAGCCCCCGCCATAGCTGCCCTGCTGGCCATGGCTCTGGCTCTTTAAGGAAAAAAACGAGAAAACCCCCAGCCTCGCCATTCCTGCCTGGTGGGCAGCGATCCCCACTGCCCCCCGCCATGTGGGGAGCTCTGCACGAGCCCCCCGAAGCCCCGAGGCCGCTGTAGGAGCAGCGAGTCCTAGCGCTTTTCTCAATTTTTCTTCTTCCTTAAAGGGCCAGAGCCACACCGGGTGGGGCAGCCGTGGCGGGGGGGGGGCAGTGCAGGGGGGGGTCAGAGGACTCCTGAAAACCCTCCACGTGGCGTGGGGCAGTGGGAGTCAGCAAGGATCATCCCCTGCCCAGCAGCACCTGGTGAGCATCAGGGGTTTTCTTTAAAGGGAGCAGGTGGGGGATGGGAGCTGGCAGGGTTCCCCCCATGGTCCCCTCCACCCTCCTCCAGCCCCCCCTCACACCCCTTACTTACCAGCTCAGAGTCCGGCTGCAGCTCCCTGCTGCAGCCACCAGGGACTGTCTGAATCAGGGAAGCTCCCTGAATCTTTTCTGAAGATTCAGAGAGCTTTGAATTGATTCAGACCTTTTAACTGGTCCCGATTTGATTCTGATTTGGAGATTCGGTCACCGAACTGGGCCAAATCTCCTCCAAATCAAATCACCACCCAAAGCTTCGCACAGCCCCAATGAACACTGAAGGATATAAAGTGTCTGGTAGATCTGTGAGGACAGTGTTAGCATGCATGATGGAAGACTGCTCCAAGACAGTGGGGTTAAGGCTGCATTGCAAGAGTGCTACATAAGCTAGCTCTGTCATTTCATTATTTACGCTATTTAAGTGTTCTCCACATCTAGAGAGGCACAAGACTCCACCGGAGTCTGCATCAACTCTGTATCAACAAAGTTCTGGGGCACCTAATTACCCGTCCAAAATTTTCCAAAATAACGCGGTGCAGCATCTCCTCCTTCCTCTTCACATGAAATCCTTCAAAACCTGTATTTTCTTGTTGGGCTGCAGTAGGCTATGAAATATTTCTACAAATGCAGCAGAAGAGAAATAGCCATACAACCATATAAAGCCTGCAGGAAAACGAGTCTCAAACCCATCTGCCTAGTGACAGCTCCACAGTACATCTCCACAGCTGCCTGCAGTACCGTTACATGATGATTTGGGTTCCTTTTGAGGAGGGATGTGAACTCAGAGTAGTTGTCACTGCTGCTTAGGACACATTATTTTATGATAGACGGGTAGCAACATACAACCTGCAGGATGGATTCAGCCTGGAAGGCTTTGCCTCTGCTCCCTGTGCTGGGACCTGGCATCTGGAAGCTACATCTGCATCACTGTCACTTCTCTCTGCCCCTCCCTCCAGCTACAGCACAGGCTTAGCTTCTACCTGGTTGGAAACTGAGCCAGGGCTGGGCAGCTTCCATCTGTAACCACACTGCAGCCAAACGGTGGAGAGGCACTGTGGACCAATCTTCTCTCCATAACTTCCTTGAATTTGGTGGCACCACAGTTGAAAAAAAAAAAAATCACTGTTGTACTGCCTTAGCTTACCAGGGAACTTCTTATTCAGCTCCACATGCCTCTGTTCCCAGAAGACACAAGGGTGGGCAGTGTGGACCATCTTCCAGCTACCAGCTCAGTTCCCCACCAGCTGGAAGCTGTGCTTGTGCCTCAGCCAGGGAACCGGTGGGGAGGGGAGGAAGCACAGCTGGGAAAAGCAGCGGCATCTGGCTCCAGTGTGGGTGCAAACAACACCACCCCCCCCACCCCCCCGCTGCTGACATGCCACCAAAGCCCCCTGACCCACACCAGACTGGGGCTGGGGTGTTCAGGTCCATGACTTATCAGGGTTGCCGGCCCATGCTTTATGGCTTTAAGGTGTTTGCCAGTACCTGCTTTACTTTTTCCTCTTTTCCTACCAAAAGAAGAAATAAAAGAAAAAGCAGAAAGATGCCATTCAAACCTGAAATAACACAGAATTTTTCACATACCAAAGGGCAACTTTCTCTCCATGTGCTTTGCAAGTGCCCCTACAATGGAGTCAGCTATAGGAACTGGCTCATCTCCAAGTAATCCTAACCTGGTGGGAAGGAGAGAGAAAAGAATGAAGTGAATACTGCTTTCCTTTGAAAATTACATCTTCTATTACCACAGCCTCAGAGATCAGGCCCTTTGTACACCTTTTTTCAGGAAGAGCAATAGGGCATCAAGTGGAATGGTGATCATATGCTCGAAAGCTCAAAAGGAGGAATAAAAAAAGCAATTAAAAATTAAAATTTCATACATTATTTAAAAAACAATCAGCTTTAAATTAAATCTGAATTTCTGACAATCTGGTTTTAAAGCTTAAACTTCTTATAGCCTATTAAAAATAATATGCTGCATCAATGAAACCTTCTGAAGTTTTAAAGAGATAGCCTGCTGGGGGTTTTTAATTATATATAGAGTCAGGAGAAATGTTTTCATCCTTTGAGATCAACTCAAATGTATAGATGAAAATGTCGTATGCTGTACTAAGCATCTATATTATTATAGTATTTACAGTGGCAGAAATGGCGCTATTTACATTTTTCCAAATTTAAGTACATTTACTTTATGTTGTACAGAAAGGCTCTCGTTTCATTTCAATGCAGCTGTCTAGTGTAGAGGATAATTTTCTTCTAGTTTATTCAAAGTTAAGAAACTGATAGGGAGTTTCATAAACAGAACAGCTTGCTTTCCTTTTTCAATCTATGACCAAAAAATGAAATAGGAGAGGATTACTAGATGTAAAAACTTGAAGGAGATGGGCAGATTTTTAAAGGCATCAGGCCTTCAGAGATGCAAATACATCTTTGTGAAATCTTTAAAAGCATCTAGCATTTAAATCTTATTGAAACCTAACCAAGGAGGTACTTCTTAAAATTCCAGCTAACATCTATTTACATTTTTAGGGGCCTAAATGAATTGGAAAACTGGTCTAGAGTGATCAGAAACTGTCAATTTACTAATTGCAATAAATATTTCTATTGTTTAATATAGCAGTTAGACTAAAATTAACACTATATTTTGGTAAGAAAAAGAAGTGTATTTATCTAGCACATTTAAAGGATTTTTTTATTATTTAACGATAAAAACTATTTTAAAGTGTTATAAAAACCACTTTAATTCAATTGGAATTTCATTAAAGTACAGTTTGACACAAACTAGAAGTAAAATACTTAATTGTCATCCAGCATATAACAACATGCATTATTCAGCATTCTCTAACACAGAGGTGTTAAACTCTTCTGGCCCTGTGGGCCAAATGGGTGTTGCGGGGCTGGCCCCACAGAGCCCTTCCACACTGCCCTTGCCAGATCCTGCACTTGCAGTGCTTACTCCAGCCCATCCATGACCAGGCCTGCAGAACCGGTCCGGGCTGCAGCCCACATGCAGCATCCACATAGTGCCACCACAGGCAGCATGGGTCACAATGTAAGCACTGCATGTGACATGTCCTAGAGCAGCCTCCATGTGACATGCCCAGGTAGCTGTATGAAGTGCAAGCTTTGAGCCAGCCAGAGCAGGCACTGTCCAATACATGACCTGGGCCCTGATGCTACATTCTGTGTGTGGGTCCGCTGGACCCAGGGGCTGGATAATAGGGCTCCATGGGTCATATCTTTGACACCCCTGCTCTAGCATAATAAGCGTGTAAAAATTAAGAATCTGAATATATACTGATTTCTATTACTGTTTAATTCAGTATGTCTGTAGACACAGGGCATGTCTACACAAGACAGTTTACTCAAGATCAGAGCAAATTACTGTGCAGCAGGCATCACCGTCTACATGCGCAGACACTTGCTGTCCAGTAATTTGCTCTAACTGTGCATACATTTGTTACCTCTAAATACAAGTAGCAAATTTACTTGTGATTACTTACTGCACCACAGGTCACATGTAGATGGCTCCAGAAAACAGGGGACAAGAGATTGCTCCCTGCCCCCAGGAGCTACCTGCTGCTAGGGCACAGAAGCCTGGGTGGGGACAATGTCCCGGTGCCCCAACACCAGGGTGCTCACACCTCCCACTCCCTAATCATGATCACGGAGCAAAGGCTGGGGAGATTGTTCCCAGATGCAGCTCCCCAGTCACAATCGTGGAGCAGGGGCTGGGAACAGGCTGGGAGCCTAAAGCTCCCCCTGGCTGCTGCAGAGGGCCAGTGCAGAACCGGAAGCAGACTGCTGCTCCGAGCAGCAAGATCTGCTCCCGCATCCCTGAACGTGTAGACACCTGCCCAGGGTGGGTTTAACTCTAGAGTAATTTACTGTAGAGTAAGCCCACCCCAGAGCAAATGCATGTGTACATGTATCCACAAAATATCCGAGTGGTTATAATATTTTGAGGGTAAAAGGTATATTTTCATATACAGCTCTGTTAAGACTGTGCAGTACTTCCGCAAATGTTCCAAAAACAGAAAGTAGAGCATAAAGTTTTACTGTCTGAAAAAACATTTTTTTCAAGGTTCTTTTTATTTTACTTTCTCAATGACTAAACAGCACATTTGAAAAACAGCATCTGGAACCTGAAATGTCTTCTCCATTGGATCATAACAATGCTAACAGGACCCAAAATCACAACTTTGCCTCTGCTCTTCATGGCATATTGTTCTGCTCTTATGGCAGACTGAGCTGAACTCCAAAGAATCCATTGCTCCCCAATATTTTGGATACCTAAAGACTCAAACCTCTCAATAATTCTCCAGTATGTTAACAGTGACAGCTCAGGCTAGCTGAAGTCTCTCTTTATGCAACACTTCCACATGTGAAATATTTGGCAAAGCCTGCTGTTAATCTGATAATCGAAACATATATTTAAAGTAATAGAGCCAGCAAGTAATTTTTAAAGCTCCAAATAGTTACATTTAGCAAATATCCCCATTCTGTGCCTTTTTTTTCTGGATGTTTTAAATGTTTTGTTTAAAAAACAAACATTGCTGGAATCTCCTACCATTCCACTGCCTCCAGCTGACTGTTGTCCTTTCCCAGCTTATTGTAGACGGCTTCTTTAAGACTGCTGGATTTGACAGATGGTTTAAGTCCAAGAAGCTGGCACATCAACCCTTTCTAGGTACAAAAGAAGTTCAAACAGCAAATTACTACCCTAAAGACCTGCCCTCATTCTCTGAAGATTAAATCTTGAGCAGCTAGTTATTCTACGGGTGCAGGTCACAGGCATGCTGTGGACCAGTACTGTCGAACAGGGTGGATAAAAATCAACTTTTTTTTTTATTTAACCATATTTTTTATTTGTTTTTTGTTAAGATGCTTTTAAAAAAAGAAAACCTATATAAAGATAGTTTTAATTTAAGATACATTAGAGCTCAAAGATGATATCATGGAGTAGGGACTATAATATCTAATGATATACTATTTGAGACAATATATTCATGTAACCTTTTTGGAACAGTTTTATAAATAGCTCACAACAGGCAATGGTCTATATTAGGGGCCCAGTCTTGTAGGGTTCCCAGACCCTCCTCTATAGATTAGTAAAAATTAAAGAAAACCACTCTGCCCAATGGGACTCAGTGCTCAATCCAGACAATCCTATTAAGCATCTCTGTAATTCTTAGTTTCAATTCTCAAATTGTGGATTTGTCTCTCCAGTGATAACATCCTTATAAAAAGCAGTATATGGAAATAAAAGACAACAAACCTGACTACCTGCCCGCAGCCCTATTAACTCTCTGCAAGTTTGCATACACAGATTCAAGCCCTTACCTCTCTCTCTAAAAGTGCAAAGTTTCAAGAAATTAAATGAACAGAGGGTTGTTTGGGGGTGGAGTAGATCTGGGCAAGGGGGAGGAGTCTGGAGATGAATGTAAGGAGAGAGGAACAGTAGAAACAAAAAAAAAAACATTTTGAGCAGACTATCCCAGAAGTCCTGAGGGATAAGTTTCTAAGTATAGAAACTTATCTCCATTGATTTGAGATCTAGTGAGGGAATGATATGGTAGAAGGGAAAACCTATCATGGCAGCAGGCTTGCAAGGCCATAAAAGAGACCCCGTTTGGGAATATTTTAATGAAGGTTATATCAAACAACAATAATGCACTTTTTGTAGAAAACAGTGATTAAATCGAGGCCTCCTGACCAGCGACTTAAATCATGACTTAAATTGATTTGATTTAAATCAAATCCACCCTGCTGTGGAGTCATCAGCAGTTACGTTAACAATGGAACTATGCTGATTTATACCACTGAAGTATCTGCCTCTGGATGGCATTTGCCAAAGCAAATCGGCAGAACATTTATGGGAGAAAAGATACCGGTCATTAAGATGAGCCTCCTTGCTGATAGAAAGCATGGGAGAGTAAACTGCAACACAGGATTCTCAGTGTGGTTTAGACCCCACACCTGATAACAAAAAAAACGAAGGAAAACATACAACTAAATAAAATCCTATACTCACCCAGGTTATAGATGGTGCAGTTGCACTCACCAAAGGATAAGGATCTGAGTTTACTAATCCCAGTCTTACAAAGCCTCCCATAGCTTTAGAATATCCCTAAAATAAGCAAATGTGTGGTTAAAAATACTTGTCACTTGACATTGAGGGTGGACAGTTTTAGGCTTCCCAGTAGATTAATAAAGAGAAAAAGAGCCCTGGTGAATGTAGCTCACATGGGAAATCTGCCATAGTCACATATAACACAGGGGGCAAGATCCTCACTAAATGCCTCCTACAGAAACTTCAATTTTATAAAAACAATTTTTGCATTGAAAAAAAGGTTATTTGAATTATTTTTTATTTTTAAAATCAGATGTTTATATACAATTCTATTAACCTGGCACTTATTCTATTTTTAAAAAGCTATAAACCACCCTTGACAGTTTCTTAAAACATTGTCCTAGCCTTGCTGGTATCTAATTCACGCAAATTCACCAACTGACTAAAAATGGGAAATAGAGAAACTTTTCCTTGTTTCTTGGTTATAGGCAATTTTTGTCATAGCCACAAAAGTAAAGCAAACATGAAAGTAGATATATTGTTACATTTTGAATTGTAATTTCAACAACCATAGCTACTGTTTGTAAAAAACATCAGATATGGAAAAATGGCAAATTGACTTAAGTGTTTCTTTGATTTGCACTACTTAAAAACTGTCCAAATTGTATATGTTCTTAGTTTTTCTCCTCCTCTTTTTTTTTTTAAGCACATACTTCCAAACATCTTACCTTGTATCTTAAGGTGCCTCTCAATAAAGTGTGAGCTGACTGAATACCATATGGTTCAGCATATTTTGTACTGTCCCTGTTGGGAAAACCTTCCAAATTTAATCCTGGGAAAAAGTCCATGGGAATAACAGAATCCAGCAAAGCTCCTCCAGCTGGAATATTAATCACCTAAAGGTTGTGAAAAAAAAATATCAATCTAAGTGAACTATAATTTAGGTTGTTTATTCAAAGAATAAACAAGAAGAACGTTTTTCCTTGGAATGCCCACTGTACTTTAGCACCATAATTTATTTTATGCTTAGTAACAAGGAGTCAGATTCCGATTTAATTTATATCACTGTAATTCTGAAACCACTGCACTAATTTGTACCAGTACAAGTAAAACGAGAATCTGGCTACATGCAGGTTTGCATCTTACTTTTTTTTTTTTTTGGTTTCTGGATGTAAAGCCAGGATGGGAAGCAGATTTTTTTTTTGAGATGATAATAATCAAGTGCCACTACATGAGTATAAAATTGCCTCCCACAAACAACTTCAATCACTACTAAAAAGCAAGCAAATATAAAGAATGTATTGCTGGGAAGGAATGAGAGAAAAAAAGATGACTAGCTCTATTATCTCTGCTGTCTAAAACCTTGAACTTGGCTTTCTTCAAGCAGCTGATGCACAGATTTGCTAACCAGCATCAATAAAAATTCCTTTTGTGGCTTCTGAGCAAGAGAACAATATTTCCATCTAAAAGGCAATGTGTAGCAGTGAAGTCTGTAGCAATGCCACAGGGTTTTATTGTGTGTTGTCTTAGATACCTGAGTGGAAGAAGCCCACACAAAACAGGCAAAGAGAACTATGGCACTAGGGGCAGGGAGTAGGAATCACTGCATCTACTAAAAAGCCTACAAAGGACCTCATAACAAATCCTTGACATCCATGCTATAATTTTTACTAGCTCTGGATGACCCAGCCCAAAATTAAACAAAAGGTACTATTATATCCACTAAGGGAAAACTTCAGATGAAATTTGTACTGATTTCTTTTTTCACAAAAAGATTCAATTCACACTCCCAAATCTCTCATGATTTTTCAGGGTCACTAGAACATGAAAGCTCCAACGTGTCACAGAACAGCCTATTTTGAAAGATTTCCAACACAGGTTTTCAGTTCCAAGGAAAATTATCCAAATTCTAGTGTGGTTAGACAAAACTGCACTGCTAGACTTTGAAAGTCAAACCGTGGAGCAGTTTATAAAGGCAAGCAAGGATGGTTTAATAGATCAAGCACAGGACAGGACACCAAAAATTCAGTAACCTTGGCTCTGACACTGACTTGTTATGTGGCCTTCAGCAAGTTGCAATCTCTGTGCCTTTGTTCCTTGCACCTGTAAAATGGCCATAGCAAAACACCGTTTATATTTCTACTAGGGCTGCGCGAAATGGCTATGTTTCGTTTTGGTTTCAGATTCATCTGTTTCGAAGGACAGTGATTTGTTTTGGTGTTTCAGATCACTGTCCTGTTTTGTTTCAGCCGAATCTGTTTCAGAGATTCAGCTTCACAGAATCTGTTTCGAATGGGCTGCAAGCTTCACGCAGCCCTACCGCCCAGCCAGGCGGGGGTGCAGGGTCCCAACAGGGAGCAAGATGAGGCCGTGGGTGGTTCGTCTGGGGAAGCAGGAGGGCCACTAACCTCTGTGCAAGCAAGGAGACCCCCCTGTGCAGATCTCTGATCCCTGTCACGCTGGGTCACAGGGCACAGAAGCAGTGCAGAGCGGTGAGCAAGCCTGCTAATCCCTGCCACGCGACTCTGCTCCATAGGGAGCAGAGATCCACACCAGGCATCTCCCTCACTGCCGTTGCCTGGCCCATGCTGCCCCAGATCTCTGCTCCTTGTGGAGCAAGGTCATGCAGCAGGAACCAGCACTGCCCTGCCGTGCGACCTGGCTCCTCGGGGAGCAGAGATCCATGCCGGGAGTCTCCTCGCTGCCACTGTCCACCCCACACTGCCCCAGATCTCTGCTCCCTGCAGAGCCAGGTCATATGGCAGGGACCAGCACTGCCCTGCTGCGCGACCTGGCTCTGCAGGGAGCAGAGATCTGCACCGGGGTTCTCCTCACCACTGCTGCCTGTCCCGTGCAGCCCTGCGTCACCAGGGAAGCATGGGGCATGCAGTGGCGACAAGAAGGCCCCCGGCACAGATCTCAGATTCCTGTGGAGCCGAGTCGCACAGCAGGGAAGCAGTGTACCGATGTTTCCCTGCAAGCCTGGCTGCGAAATTTTCCAAAACATTTCCAAAACATTTTGGATGCCTCGTTTCATTTTAGAGATGTTTCAGAGCCTTCCGTTTCGATTTGAATTTAGTTTTTCAGACGCCAAAATGGCCCAAACACCTCCAAAATGAAACAGCTGCCAAAATTTTGCACAGCCCTAATTTCTACACATGTTCATACAGAATTTTACCACTGACTACACCACCAGCAGAACAGGGTTCAGATAATATCCTATGAGGTGCTGACAGCTCTACGACAGCATCTAACAGGAACTGCTATTTATTTTTACTATTGGCACTACAGTAGCAACTACAGTGCCCCCCAAACATGATCAGGAATGGGCTAGATACAGTAAAAAATACAGTCAGAGACAGTTCTCAACCAAGGAGTTTGTAGCTAAATAGACAAGAGAAATATTAGGAGTCAAGAGACATTGCCATCTCTGTTCTGCAGACAAGAACCAGGCACAAATAGATAAGTGACACAAAAAACATGTGGCAAGGATGGGAATGAACCAATCTTCAACTCCGTCCAAATCCATGTCAGCAACCTGTGACCTGTAGGCCAGATCTGGCCCACAGACATTGGGCTTTGGCTGCAGGTTCCCTCTTCATGCTGCTATGGGCAGAAGCAGCAGCTGCAGGCCAGTCCTAGTACCTACCCACCCCTCTCTGATCTGAGCTGAGTCACTCTGGTTCAGCAACCTGAAAAAGTTGCTGACCACTGCTCTAAGTGACAAATATTAGCTTGTAGCCACAAGCTACAAAGCACACTAGCATGGCAAAAGGCATGGCACTGCCTTATACTAGCCACAAGGCATAGCAGTTCACAGTCTGAAGTTCAAACACAAAGATAAGTGATACAGTGATAACTACTTAAAATTGGAGGAAGGACTTAAAAATAATGCAACATCTCACAGATTCCAATTCCCTCTTTAGTTCAAGACTTCTCTTCCCCCTCATATTTAAACAGAATTCCCAGAGTTACTTTACCTCTCCATTTTTTAAATATACAGCAGGTTGAACTGTATTCAACAAGACACCCTGTGGACTCCAGCTGAATTTGTATCTCAGAGGGTTGTCAGAATATTCAGGAGCTGGCAGGCCACCACAGAAAGAAGTGTAGGAGACAACCTATAAATAAGTGTAACTGATTAGTGGAGTTCCACTGGTCTGGGGCAAAAAAAAGACAGCAATAACAACAAAAAACACTTTAAGATGCACAACAACAAAAAGTCAGCTGCCAGAAAGAATCACCACTGAACTGCTCCATGATGCTCAATATTGTCTGTACATTAAATCTCTTTTGCCAATATTTACAGGAAGGTGTGAATGAGATAGAAAACATTTAAGATTATTTTATGCAAAATAGCATTCATGATTTTGACATGTTCAAAAAGCATCATGGGATTTATTCACTGGACAGTCACTTCTGGGACTTTGGAAAAGATCTTCAGCTAGTATACTGTAAGATGTGACAGCTCCCCACTGACTTCACTTGCTTGAAGTGTCAGTCTTTGGCAGTTAGGGACTCAATTCCTCAGCTCTCATCAAGGTGGAATCCCTAATTGCTTGTTTTCCACTGAGATAATATCATCCATGTTGTAATGCTGCCAAATATTTCCCAGTGTTTTGGGACATCAGTCAGCTTTGCTGAGGAAACAGTTTTCCAGTTAAGCCTGATGTCAGTACAGCCTTGTTTAAGCTTGCCTAGTCTGCCACTTTGTGGTGCCTGACACTAGCCTCCCATTTCCAGAAACCTACTTAAGGAAAAAGCAAACTCAAACACAGAAAAGACAATCCAATCAGCAAAAAGGCAAATTCATTTCAGATGGAGCATAAATAGAACAGCAGCCACCAGCAGCTATTCAACACACCTAGTTATGGGACTTATTGGCTTAGCAACAGAACTGTTTGGAGACCACTACTCTTGGCACTTCCACAGCAGTCTCAGCCAATAAACCAATAACTGAGCATGGCAACTATGCACCACCTATACTCTATTACTTCCCACAGAAATGGTGAGGCAGAATGGCAGGGCTGTGTGGGAGAATATGGACTGTCCTTCCCTGGTGACAGTTTTGCACGTTTCACAAGTACGTATGTAAGTACGTACACACACACACACACACACACACACACACACACACACAGAGGCCAATGGAGTTTTGCTAATTTATCGCAGCTGACCCATGAAAACTAGAATTTTATTATAAAAGGATATCTTCATGTGAGCTGAGCCTAATGTCTAATGCCTCAGAAGCCAGGCAGACAAATAAAGATCCCCATTCTGTTGTAACCCTGGACATGATGCTGGAAACAACAGATGCTGGAAACAACAAGGAGGATAGGCTCTTTGCATTTAAAATGGACCAACAGACTGCAAAAAGGATTTCTAGAAGGGACAACCAGAAAGTTTTGGAGATTTTAAAGAGACCAATGGTAAGGAATTTGTTGATGTGCCTATTGGGCCAGGAGTTAATGATGGATTATGAAGAATATTTACAGTTTATGTTTAGCAAATCTTAGGCTACTCCAACAAGACTTCTGCAATAGCAACAAAATGTTTTCTAAGTCAATGATGGCTCTTGTGCTTTAGTCCCTGTGAGAGCACTGAAGCATCTCAACCACTGAAAACAAAATTGACATTATTGCCCCTTTGGTAACTGTTACCTAACAAATGTTTCCTTCCAGCAGCAGGTGCTCAATACACTTCCATTCCCCACTTGCAGTGGGAAAAAGCATGTTGCTTTTCAAAAGATTAGCTGTTCCATTGTAAAAGCTTATGCCATGTGGTTGTACACTATGCTGCTAGGAAGTGCAATCACTTCAGAATTCTCCAATTCATGCAGGCTAAATGCAACTTCTTTGCTAGCATTCTTACAACCAGTTCATCCACGTTTTAAAATATAACTTCAAAGATTTTCTAAAAACTAGGGAAGTAACCCCATGTAACTCCATTGCATAGGTATATCCCAAGGTGAATATCACTGCATTTTGTACTGGCATTTAGCATCATCAGGCAATCCAAGCTGTGAACACTAGCAGCTGACTCATCCAAAAAAGCCAGTCACCAATGACAGCAGCAAGTACTAGTTCATACTGAAGGGACCACAGTTTTATAAGAACAATTTTGGCAAAAGTGTGCCCATGTATCATGTCACCCTTACCGTAGCGCCTACTTCTTTTGCCTTATCAATACATTCCATTGCCAACATATGATCAAGGCCAGGATCCAAACCCATTTCACTGATAACTGTAATACCAGCAGCTTCTACGCTGAAATAATAAAAGTACAATATTGTCAGAAGATTCCATAATGCAGGACTTTTGTTCCTGAAGCCTGAGTTGTACCATGACAGTCCAATAGCATCCATTACTAGCTAGGGACAAAATATAAATATTAGGACCAATTCTGTGCTGTGTCTGCAGTCTGTGGAAAATAGAGGAGCAAGTTATCATTGTATAGCCCACTCTGATCTGCTAAGGGGGCTACTGGGTCTGGTATAATTTATGGCAGCCTCTACAGCCCAAAACCAATTATTCTGTGCATTAGAGACAAGTCCTCTGTGCTGGTAGTTATGTGGAAGGCCAACAGAGGGCTGCTTACAGTAGATCTACACAGCTCCTGTGCAAATGGAATTCTTCCCCAACCCCTTATGTTAGCTTGTTTATTCTTTTAATGACCCCTACATGTATCAGGTGTGGAGTGGGAATCTTCCCCATGGAGCAGGTGTGAAGAGAAAGATTATTTTTAAATTCTGTTTCACATGGTCTCAAATGAAAATTAAATCAAATCCTTTTGACATAAGTGGTGTCTTGTCTTTTCCCCTCTGGTGAAGTTTCTTTCTGCCTACGAAAGCTGCAACATATTAGGCAAGATTTACATTATAGACATCCATCAGCTATGTAGGTTAGAGTTCTGTTGAGGTACAATTTGTGACTAGCAGCTGTGC